CAGGCCCAAGAGCAGAGCCTGGGGGACCCCATGGGGCACCAGCCTCCAGGCAGATACGACCCAGTGACCACCACCTCTGAGCCTGACTGCCCAACCAGGTATTTATCCCCCTGGTGGGGCACCCACCCAGAGCCTAACATCCAGCTTGGCTACAAGGACATCGTGGGAGAGTGCTGGAAGCCTTGCTGAAGTCAATGTAAATGATATCCCCTGTTCTCCACTTGTCCACAAATCCAGTCATTTTATCACGGAAAGCAATGAGGTGGGTGAAGCACTATTTACTCTTGGTCAAGCTATGCTGACAGCTCCCCATCACCTTCTTCTCCATCATGTGGCAAGACATGTGCTCCAAGAGGACACATGCCATGATTTTCCCAGGCACCTGAGTGAAACTGGTCAACCTGCCGTTCCCCAGATTGTCTTGTTGGCCCTTTTCCAGTTGCCAGGGACCTCCCACCATCTACATGACAATAAAGAGAGGAACATCTAAAAGAAGGGAACAATTACCAGTTGCCATTCCGTGCTGTTTAAGTAGAAATTTCTCTTTCCACTAATCTTTTGCTTTGAAAAGCTGCCCTATGCTAATCGAAGGGTAGACGTTCTTGCAGGGTACCTCTATTCTTTTAGTTAGAACTGGAGTCAGACTTACTCGATGGTCATTGTCAGGATTGTGCCCTTTTTTCATACTTCTGAACTTTAATTGAAGTCTTCCATGTTGGAAACCTCTGGACATGCATATGAACAGCATGGCTTTGAGAAGTGAGATAATTACTTCCTTTAACCGAAGTACCACATGAACAACCTTGTAAATAAGGACACGCTGCCATGAAGCTTCCTTGCTGTTTTGCCCAAGCAGGAGGTAACGGTTAGAGCGTAGCTCTATGCCAGGACAGAGGTAAACGACACAACCGTGTGCAAAAACCTGCTCTGCATACTAATGCATATGGTTTATGCCTCTTTACTGTTGAAGAGAGGACAAAGTACATTCTTTGTAGGCTCTGATTAGACAATAGAGGTGAGCAACATGCCTGTATGAGATAGCCCTCATATTTTGGGCTGCTTTGTCTTTATCCTCCTACAGATAGGAGGACAGGAAGAGAAATCTTTCTAACACCTCTTCCCGGTAGAGAATGGAGTGTGGAAGTCCTGGTGCTCTGTATTGGTGTATCATACTGGTGGCTCAGGGATAAGAATGTTACCAAAATACCCGTTTTGCTCTGGAATAAAACTGACAGTACGATGTACTGATACGTAAGACTGGGAACATCCTCTGTGGTCCTAACAAGCAAGACATCCAGTGGATGTCTTTCTGTGCTACCTTTACAGGTATGCAAAGACCAGGAATCAAGATCAGGGAAAATGTGCTACTAAAAATGCTCTAAAACACTACTCCCCTTTCAAATCCAACTGGAAGAAATAAACTTGCCCTATTCTTTTAACTGTAAGGAACTAAAATCCTGAAGAAAGGTATTCACTGACTGCTCGATATAAGGGAACTCCTTAAAACATTTCTAAATTCTCACATATGGGATTAAAATTTTTTAAAAGTAGAGGCTACATTCTTATTTGAGCACATCAGAGGCATAGCAAGCCACACTGGTCTCAGCTTGAAATGAGTAAGTCCTTACAGAAACAGAGGAACTAAGTAACATATTACTTCCTATCAATGACAGTCTATGTTTCACCATCTCAGCATAATTTTTAATTTAACAAGAAGGAAAAAGGTTTCTTCTTTATTTCAAAGGATAAAAGATAACGATTCTATCAGATACAGAACAGAAATTCTATGAAAAAAAATCAGCAGCAATTAAAGTCAAAAATTGTGCATGAATTTTATTAGAATACTTTGTTTCCTGAGCAAGATTTACCACACAACATGCAGATGCATTTTATAATTTACTTCACGATACATTCTGCACTTGTGAGTTGTGCAACAAAAGTAGCAATTGAGAAAGTTTCCAGCTTTTAGTAATTTCAAAAAGTGACAGCATCTTCAGTAAACAAACAGAGCTTTACTAGTTACTAGTGTCAATGTTAAGTTTCCAATGCCTATCAAGCCAAAGTGATTAATTTGAGCAGCACATTTAAAGCTCTTTAGACTTCAACACAACTTCTACATTAGAAGTTTCAGCAGTGTTTATTACAATTTTTCACAATCTTAGACATGAGAGTAAAAACTTAGCACAATCAGGCTCTTTTCTAATGGATCAATTGATTAAAAACACAGAAGGAAATAATAATGGTAGGAAGACAAACAGAATCTCAGCACAAGTAACTTACAGCAGCATAATTCTGACAAATTCTTTTGATGAAGCGCTGAGCTCATTGCAAGAGTCCTACATACATGTAGCATAAAAACGGCTCAATGTGTAATTACTTATCAACCGGGTAACGCTGATGACGTTCATTCACAAAAATGGTGTGCAGCTGGGGCTCAATTCCACATCTTTCAGAGGCTCTAAATATGTAATTGTGAATCTTTGTCTTTCAGGAAAGGTAAGGGAATTCCGGACATCTAAATAAAGGACTGTATTGCTTTTAAAATCTGAGTATCAGACATTTCAGGAAAAGTTCTGAATCTAACTTGTTAACCTTTATGCCTCCCTGCATGAAAGGGACACTAGAAAGCCATCTTGAAAACAGAAACCTGTTTGCCAAAGAGTGTTATAAACGATTTAATCAATAAAGCAACAGTGGCTTCTCCAATCACAAGTGCAGCTCTTTCACAATGAATATTGAGTTACGAGGTTACGCTAAAACATGACACAACTATATTCCTGTGTTTGTCCAAAAAGAGAAGAAATACAACAACACGCAGTACAGATGTACCAGTGATTTCAATGTAACACACACCAACCATGTGTCAAAACTCAAAAACATGGGTCTGGATTAACCTGACACCACATGCTACTGAGAAAGAAGGGTTGAGGCATACAAATAGAAAACGTGTTTTTATTTTCAAGCAAAGCAAAGCTGGAGATGTGCTAAGATGAACTAAGAAGATTGGCAAGATTATTGACTATAATTCACTTAGTAAAATGCCAATCACATTAGTTCATAGCTGTTCAGAGATTAGTTCAAATCTCTGAATTAAGGATTACTAAATATATTAACGGCAATGTGAAAAAAAAAATTATTGTTTTATCTTCTAGTTTGGCTATCACCTTGGTGTTCTTTGGGAAGGTCTAATACTTTAATCTGAACCTTATTCTAACTGACAATGGAAAAACCAGCAGCAGTTTACAGACAGAAAGACTGACAACTGCTGCTGAATGACACAAGTTTTCTGTTTTGTGTTTTGAAAGAGCTCAGTTACACTGGATCACTGAACAGGTCACTGCAGGATGGCCCAACAACCTGTGACAGAGTATCCTGGTTGGCACTTACATGCACAGCTGCTTAAATAATGAGCCAGTTCCCCCGTGCAGAGTGCTGCTATTTAAGCTACTAATAGTCAACAGTTTGCACACAAGAATAGCACTTTGTAGTATATTAAAAATCCCAAATTAAATGCTCTAAATGAAGGAGCCAGTAGCGTTAAAAAGGGAGATGAGGGAAGACATATTTCAGATTTGTACCACATACACAACAACAAACGCTTCTAAAAACTCTTTGAAATTCTTGGAAGGCCCCTATTCCACAACCTCCCTGATTAGGGAGGACGTATGTATTGCTTTCTGTGGAAACACTAAAAATACTGACACGGCAGAACAGGGAAAAACTGACACACACCTGAAAGAAGTCTTTGGGGAAAGAAAATTAAAATGCTTCCCTTTATTGTACACCAAAACATGTTCAAATTTATCTACTAAGCCCGCATGGCAAAGGAACCTCTGGTAACATTTACTTTTACTGTTAAAAAAAAGCACACAGAAGAGATGGATTCATTAAAATCATGCTTGTCTAGCTAAGTTGATATTCCCTCTAACAAGACCCCTCCTGCTTCGGAAAGACTGTAGTGTTACTGTGCTCCTAATGATCCATCCTCAAACAGGTCAATGATTGTCACAAGTGTGGTGGTCACACTGACAGATTTCTTTTTGTGCCGTGCAAGACTGCAATATTACACATTAGCAGTGGAGAACTTTAAAACGTCATGAGCATATCACGTTCTTGTACACTAGTGTAGAACGGCCTCCCAAAGATAAAGGAATGTAGACCTGGTTTAATCTTCTCAGCCAAAGCCATTATTATGTTAAGATCGCCCTCTGCTGTTAAATCAAGATCTATCTTTAAGCTACGAAGAGACTTAAAAGGTTTTTTTCCTTTTTGCCTGAAAGAAAATAAAAAAGGATATTGTAAAAAAGAACAGAGGAAGTTTCTCAAAGCCTGCTTTTTATTATCTGTTCACTTACGTGTCATCTTCTATGTATTTTATTAAAGTTAAGGCTTTTCTGTGAAGGACTAGCAGAAATTGTGCAAGGAAAGTACTCCTTAGAGACAAGCCAGGCTTCAGATGGAAGATCTGTTAAAAATTATAGCAGAAAATTAGGTAGACATGGAAATTCAAGAATCATTTTAAGAATGTGGAATATAAAGAAACCTTGCATACACATGTAACATATCCTTAATTATAGCAAAGCAGGCACATTAACAGCAGATTTGTAGATATGCTCAACAATCTTTCTTAGTTTTCTAGCTGCTCAGATGCAAAAAATTAAGCTGTTTTACAATTCTGTTTGGATAAAGTATTATTTTCCTTTTTAAAATGATCTGAAATTAAGCCCAGTCAGGTAGCTTTCTCAATACTGTAATTGTAGACACTGTTGCACAGCAATAGAAAATGTGCATTGTTTTTCATACGTAAGAAGGATTTTCAGTATTACACTAATACTACAAATTACACAAGTATTTTTCTCTAGTTATGCAGAGAAGAATCATAGCACTAGTATGAAAAAGAGCTACCAAGCCAACAAATTATCTATTAATGTTAAATTATCTGTTACTAAGGCTCAAAATACTGAACTTTAGCTCTTGTTCTTTCTGAAAAGGCAATGATTACCTGATCCAGGAAGGCTTTTACTAATGTATCTCGATGCAGGATATCTTGAAAGACATTTCTGTAGAAAAGAAAGCAAACAAACATGTGAGGTAATGCCATGAAGGGACGCTAACCGTCCAGCAGTTGCACACAGCAATAGCACTACTGTTTACAATCTGGCAGAAATTAAAAGTGAATTCAAAATTCTAGTGAATTATAATCCTGCTATTTTTAAAGCTAATACAGAATCTTAATGCAAAACTTTCAGATGAAATGAACTAAATCCAGGAAAGCCATTGGGCCCTGTCAAATACACTTAGCTTTGTTATAGCCCTATTTAAACAGGCAACAAAATTAGCATAACATGGTCGTAAGTATCACTGAAAATGAATTTCAGTAATATTTAATGCAACAAAACTACTGATGGAACTGGTAAATTCCTCCAAAATGAATGCAACTACCAAAGCTGAAGGAGCTTCTTAAAAGCAAAAAAACCTCATGTACTCTATTAGAAAGTACACTCTGTATTACTTTACTCTCGTCCCAAAATCAAGTAACTTCGAGAGATGCGAGAAAGGAGTACATACAAATCAGGTGTGAAACTCTCATCTGTGTGGATAATATGATCTTGAGACATTTCTTCATCTGAATTAGCTCTCCAAAATGCTGTCAGCTCGGATCTCATATATCGTCGTTGGTTATAGATGTGTTCATGACAAGGGGGCATCTGCTTCACTGTATTGATATCTACATCTATATGTGTAGTAGGATATGGGGCATACATTACTTGACGGAAGGGCAACACAAAGCTTCCTGTTGCATCCTGTTTTAGTGAAAAAACATTATTCTTCTAGTTACTTTTTTAAACAAAGCTATATTGGAACAAAACAATATTAAAGCATCATGCCTAAATTTTAAATCCCATTTGTTTAGACATGTTTTGTTTGAGAGAACTGGTGGTTGTAGCCCAGTAAAAAGTCCTTCATACTGGATGATTCCCTTAATATAACAGTGAAAACAGGTACTGAGGTAACCTGTGTATTACAGTATTGCATCATCTGGTTCATGAGCCCATTAACATTACAGTATTATATTTATCTGGTAAGTTTAGACTGCTCATTAGAGCAGAAGCATTATTTTTCTATTCATCTTCACCCATTGCTACAGCCCTTTTACAATACTTGGAAACTGTAGGACTGATGGACTGTTCTTTTTTGGTTTTGGTACAATACAAAAACTTAATGCCTTTTAGGATTCCAGCCCCTGGTAGGCAAAAGACTATTATTATTGTACCTCAAAGCATAGGAACAATTCTGGACAATACTCAAGAAATAGATGTTGCAGAGAAAAGACTGGCTTGCAATTTTAACGTGCAAATAGTTACAAGGAAAGCTATAGTGCCAGAAAGGAATCAAGGGAAGATGAGGTATTTCTTTGAACATGAATGTGTTCATGTTCATGACCATACATTGAAGAATATTCTTAAACTACAGAAGAATAGAACTTTCCTAAGCGTACTTACTTTGAGTAAGCCTTGAACAAAAAGTCCTGACTCATATTTGAAAGACGACTCACTTCTACAGAGTCTGGAACACTTCCGTTCTGACGGCGTAAGAAACAGACACAACGTTCTCACAATCTGCATTAAAAAGAACAGTCTTGAAAAACATGGAAATGTAAGGAATGAACCGATCTTCAAATGCAATTTCTGACTAGAATGTACTAGGCATTTCAAATGATGAACAAAAAAGTTCATCATGCTTATTAGAAAAGCCAAAACTTTACCAAGGTCACAGAATAGTGACATGCTTAAATTATTAAGCTGTAAGCCAACTCCTTGTCAAATGAAGAAAAAATCCAACACTTTTTGGCAAAATTTGGTTTTTAGCCAACTATGTAGAACAAATCACTTTTGCCTTCTGCTACCTCTTCCTATTACATAAACATGAGTTACTGCGATTACTATCCTAGCCTTTTAAGCCTCTTATTTTATTCATTCCATATTGAAACATCAGCGATTGTCTCCAATCAGGCATAGTCAATTTCCTATATAAGCATCCATGCTTATTTCCTCAGTAATTTCCTCAAACTCTCCATTAAAAGCAACAAAGGTACTTCATTATCCATTTTCAAACTCCTGTGCTGCAACAGCTACAAGTAATCATCTCCAAATACAGGATGTATTCCATTCTGCTGATCTTTCAGTCTTAACCTGCGGTGTCCTACCTGTGTCTGTAAGGTGTTTGAGAAGGCTCTATTCTTGCACAGTGTGTTTATGCAGTACCTAAAAGAATGACAACCTAGTTTCTGACTAATGCTTTTTGACACTTCAGCAAGGCGCAATAGGTGGTTTTTTTACTTTAAGAAAAGCTAAAGTATGCCATAAAGAAAACAATTACTTCAGAACAATTACACCGTGACACAAAGAGCACACTGCTGATAAGAACCTGCGCAGAATTTATGAACTTTACCCTGGATGTATCTTGAGACTCACATTCTTCCAGACTGTTTTTTTCCTATAGTGCCTAGCTTATCAATACATTATTTTACACACTCATAACTATTTAGACCTTAAAGCCTTTTAATTAATTATTTTATGAGCTATAAACTTTAAGCTTTTTATAACCACTTAAGCCTTCAACATTTCCTCTATTATGCTAACTTAATCATGTGCAGATCTTACATCCCTGAAACAATACACATTAACTGTGGTTAGCTGATTTCAGCTAAGAACTGACAACTTTCTTTTCTGTGGTTCCCCTGTTGCTTGTGATTATTTTTAATTTGAGTATCAGCATTTACTGTTCATTTGATCAGAGGTGCTCTGCCGTCACTGCCAATACACACAAAACAATGCATCCTCCCCCCAATTTTTATAAAGCATCACGAACTGCTTATCTCAAAACACAGGTTTACTAAAGGTGCCTTGAATTTTTTAAAAAGATGACTGTCATATTTCACTGCAGCAAGGAGCACGACATACTGTAAAATACATAATATATAATATGTATAGCCTACAATTAATATATAATATATTCAGCAGGCCCACTGTTCTTAATCTTTATTTCACATTGAAGCAATACACACAGATACATACATAGATATATCAAAAAGGGCATCAACATCGAGAATTAAAATGAGTTTTTCCTCAAAAAAGAAGGTTTCAGTGCTACAAAATAAACCAGAGCTGAATAATCAGTACATCACAATTAAAAACATAATCAGACAGAAAAGCCCTATATACAAAAACATTCCCTATCAGAAAACGAAGTTATCTGAACATACCGCTTCTCCACGTATACCACTGTAGGACCTTTGTCATGGCCTCAGGACATGGGACTATTGTTATTGCATGGTCCAGAGGCCTCAGTGTAAATTGAAAACTTATAATGCTACACAACTACACAGAACCTTACCCTCACAGCAGTACTGGTATACTCATTAAGTGCAGTGGCACCTAATACCTGAAGGCTCTAGGACTGCACACTTTTATGAAACCCTTCTTTTCATTCCCAATTGCAGGCATATTCTGAATCAAAGAGGTTTATTAAAGGACTCAGCTGTGAATGTAGAGAGGCAATTGATTTAGTGAAATACATTTTCTCACAAAGAAAACAACATTTTCTTCATCATTTGTCTCTGAATATCCTAACTGAAAATTAATGTCAGTGTTTTTATTAGAAGGGATGGAGTAACACCCTAATTGAATGCAAGTCAAAGGGAAATCTCTCTGAACAAAATGCTGATACATTGCACTACGCTAAAAAGAAATATGCTTTTAAGAAATATTTCAATGGACAGTAAACAGAAGTGTATCTCTTCCAGGAATTGCTTTCAATTTATCTGAAACTAGCATTTTGGTATAATCAAAAAGCTGTATACAAAAAAAGTACTTGGAAAATTCTGAATAAGGAAAACATCCTCATGTGATTTTTCCTTCACATACTGGGTGAGCTTAAAATAAGCATCAAGAAACTCTCCATTTACACCAGAATATTAGAGGAAAAGCAGTGCAGGTGATAGTTTCATATTGGTTCAAATTAAATATTTCATAACAAGCTTACAAGAGTTAATAACAGTATGGGAAAAAAATGTCTACCACAAAAATGTGATTATTTTTTGTTCTGAAATGACACCTTCCAAGAGTGACCTTTTTTCCTCCCAAATAGACCATAATGATGTATACGCTTTTCCCCGTTAAGAGGTACAGCTAATGCTGCTTATTGTTTCTAGACCTGAAAGCTCCTAAACATCATCCCTACTGATGTGCTCCAGCAAGCATGACACACTGAGTATTTTGTTGTTATAGGACTCAGTTTTAGGGGTTTGTATCTGTACTTTGCCTCTTTCTGGTTCTTCTGGAAAGCTGAGTCAAACCTGATTTAAGAACTACCAGTTAAACTGTACGCTTATTTACCAATTAATTTTTAAACAGACTGGAGATGAAGTCAACAAACACAGCTATGAAGAAAAAAATGCTGGAATTGCTGGAATGGTTTAAGGTCCTAGTAAGCTCGCCTGCGTGTGTGACTACAGACTCAACAGCTTTGAGGTTCCATGAAACACAAGCAGTTCATGATGCAGAAGTACATTTATTCCCCAGCGTAAGAGAAATGATGCAGATACTAATTTCTTAAGAGTACATGGACAATGCCCATTGACATAGCTGAACTGGGCAAGCCAGTTCAGACCTCTTCAATTTGTACATTTTAGCTAACAAACTTAATTTTAAAAGCTCAGACTCATTTACTACTGGTTTATATACAGTAACAATTAAATAAAATTAATTGGTTTTCTTATAGTTGCCAGAATACAACTGATAAGGCAATTTTCAGGCAGAATTATCAACTGCTAGACCGATCAGCTGAAGTAAGATAACCAGACAACAGTATTCCTTCTTTCTTCAACCTCAAGTATGTTTATAGATAAACCTTGTTCCAAATAACACACTAACATTGCTAACAATCAGCATTTAAGTTTGGTGTATTAGAAAGTGCATTACCTTATTCACTTTTTCTGCACTGCTTCCTACAACTACAGAACAACCACAGGTCTGCAGGTGTGAACTAATTGCACTGCAAATAAAAACAAACATAGGTTAATACGTTTAATCAGACTTTTCAAATAAAACAATTATCATCTTCACAAGAAGAATGAAGTGCTCCTAGTATAAATATAGGCCCATACCTATAGGCCCATACCCATACGACCTCACACAGCTGTGTAGGTTACTGCTGAAATCCAAAAGTTTGACAGTATCTACATTTTCAGTTTGATGAATAAAAAGACTGTCACTCAGAACCTCCAAACACCAGTTACAGAGCAAACAAAAACTGTCTACTGCTACTATCTAACTGTATTACAGAATCTGTATAAAATAATTAATCTAAAGTAACAGAAGACATATTAATAATGAAGGATTTGAAAGCATCTTGAAAGAAGATTATTCCATGGTTGTCGTCATTTACTGGAACTGTGGATCAGAAGCCAGTTTTGGGACACTTGGCAGGTAAACTGTTCTACTCTTGGTAACTACATGGGCAAGAGCATGTCGCAAGCTTGAGTCCCTCAGAATACAGACAGGCATGCTGGAAGTTGAGTGATCTGGTCTTGTGAGTTGCCAGCAGCACAGATCTGATTTAGTTTATCTTAAGTTTGGAGGCTGCAGTAAATATACCTGGACTAAACTTCTGTTGAGGTTTCTTATCCTCATCCTCCCTTTCCCCCTGCACTTTCTCAAACCAACACCTGGCCCACAGATTCAAAAAGTCTAGACACCCTAGAAAGTCTAGATACTATTAAAAATTTTTGTCCCATATCCGTGAATACACAAAAGTGCATTTATGCTATCTTACTGAAGGATGCATTGTATGTGATTAACCAGTTCTAATAAACACCCCTAATTGACAATGACTGTAATAGCTACACTCAGACTCTGAAATCCTACAGGTGGACTTTATAGTGGACCTGCTACTATTTATCTTATCAAGTATATTCTAAGAGTTAAATTTAAGGCCATCTGCATACTTAGGAATTCTTCCTTTGGGGCAGAAATAGATGTTCAGTTTCATTTAGAAATTACTAAGAAAGCTGGTTGCTTATTTTAGAGGTTGGTATTGTTGGTATGGGCAGTTTATTTAGTTTAATCAAATTTTTATTCAATGACAAGTATAAATAAATCCATACAACATTATATTTAAGACTTGAAATCTAAACCTAGGCGAGCTGATAAGCTTTGCAGATAAGCTAAAAAGCAGGCATTTGGACCCTTCACACAAACGGCCAAGTTATTCTTTTTTTTTTCAGGACAAAATTTCCAGGGAGAAGTAGCAAGAAGAGCTAACTGATACCCTACAGTCTACTACCTGCCCAATAAATCTCCATCTGGTATGAGAACAGCTCATCATTGTAGGATCAATGGCTCTAGTCGTTCACAATAATCCATTCCATGATATTCACTTAATTATTTCCCAAATCCTCTATGGAACTAAATACTACATTATTGTGAAGAATTAGTTAATTTAACACATGAATTTCTGTAGTACTGAAAGTGTATGTGACTGTATAAATAGATGGCACTAAGCACTACATAAATGAATGCAGTTACACCAGAGATGTTCTGAAAGGTAACAGAACATCAGTTAAAATCTATGAAATATGCTTTCCCGCAGGAAGAGGCCAAGTTGCTCTCAAGTGCAACTACTTCCACTTATACATTAAAAACAGGGGGAAAAAGAAAAACACGCAATTTAGTAATAAGCGTTCCATATGCCATATCATTAATGACACTTATTCATCATTTATGCAGTAAACACAACCCAGTTTTTTAGGTATTTCATAAAAATGTAAGACTTTGACTTATATCCTCATAAAATTAAATGTAAGTATCAAAGAAAAATTACATTTGATAGGGATTCTATTATCAAGCAAATGACTCTGTGACAACACAGTCTATAGAGATACAGCTATTAACCCAGAGCCATTCTTCTAAAAAGACAGCAACTTCTACTGCATTTTAGACAAAAATCTCAAAAAGCCAAATACATGTCATCTTCCCCCTTTCTAATCTGATACATGTTCACATGCGCATACAGGCAGTTAAATATATATGCACACACAAGTTTAAACCATTTTACTACAGCATAAATCAAAACTGAAATTCATACTTGAGGAGAAAGCCTTCATGGCAACTATCCCCAATGTCGTCATCGTTTAGCACTGTGTCACTTATCTGAAATGCAAGTAAATATAAACAAAGGTTAGACAAGGATCTGCAACACCTTCCAATTAATTGATTTTTGTTTTTAATGATAGGTGAAAACTGTTTGGGAACTGTTTACGCTAAGCTGTTAAGACTGCCCAAAAAAGCACCCCCTTAAAAAGACCTTCTGACTTCAGCCAAAGCATTTTGAAAATGAGAAAGTCACTTGATTATTAAATGTTCTTCACAAGTCAGATTCCTCCCAGGTTTTTTTCTATAACCTTGTCCAGAATACTTTAAATTAGTGCATGTGAGATCACTGACTTCTTCCATGAGAACATTAAACCACACTGAAACAGGTATTAACATTAAAACCATTTACGTCCCCATTCATTTTGTTTTGCATCAAATAGCCTTTCCACTCCACTCTTAAAAATGGTATCATCCTATGCAGTCAATTTTGTTAAGTGCTGACCATAAAAACCACTGCTAGTACTGTTATATTTACTGAACTAAAACAGTTACGTTAAACCATTCCCTACACCACTTAGGAGAATGTGATGTGAAACAACTGAAGAGTACAAGAATTTATGACAACTGTGGGGTTTTGTCTGCCAAAAAGAGTACCAAACCAGAGTGCCAAAGCCACTTTTTTATTCACAATGCAAACAACACAAGGACTTACATCTATTTCTTCCGGAACACTGTGTGATTTCATAGATGAAAGGAGTTCCATTACGGGAATGACTTCTCCTGTCAGCATTGGAATGATGCTCTGGCCCTGCACAATAAATAAAATGCTTGAAGTAAAAGCACATTTTGCAGTATTAGAAGTTACTACTAACATGAACTTGCAATATTACATGCAAAACATCTTTAACTTCCTAGTGTTTGGAAGCGTGGTATGAGCGGAAGTTGATGCATAGACTTCTTGGGCTTTACTCATCAATAATTATGAACTGGAAACATACATTTTGCTTCTCAACGTCATGTCTTAAAATGTATTTCCAGGGTCCTATGCCAATTTTCACAATCCGTTTGATTGGCCTAGACAAGAAGTATTTGGAGTGAGATAATTTGATCGTATCATATTATGTGCAATTACTGTTAAGCATTTTAGATCAAAGTCTGATATTTTAACAATGACAGGAAACCAAAACCAGGCATATTAGTTATTAACATACAAAATTACTATCTGATTTATCTATCACAAGAAACTGAAGCCACAATTTCATTTTTACAAGTTTCAGGAATCGAATTCTTTTCACAGTCTTATCCATTAGGTCTCCAACCACATTCCAACATGACAGACTCCGTACGTCTCTGTAACTCGAAAAAGTAACGACCTAGTGAAAAACCATCCTTGACAGGAGGCGAGCATGAATCTATGGAAGCTACTACCTTTACAGAGCTTCAAGTTCAAGTAAATGACTTTCCTTTTCTGAAAGGTAATATTCTTCATAGATTTCCACTTTACCCATAAAGTGATGAAATATATTTTCCTTCAACTTGTTCACAGCTTCCATCATCCTATCTTCAGAAACTTTGCCTCCTGTGCATGGTAGGTCATCAGCCAGTCCAAAGTATCTTCCTGGATCCCAAAAATAAGAAGCAGCACCAACTTCTACCAGATGCAGTCAAATAGTTTTGTGATGGTGTGCCATACGCATCAACCAGATGGCCCTTACCTGATCCTCCATTCTCTCCGTGCCTTCCAAGACAATCTTCTGGAAATGTTCTTGCCTCTCCTGAGCAAGAGAAGCAGTTAAATATAAACGCTCTGGTATTTTTTTATATATGTATGCACACAACAGTCAAATGGTACAGTTTCTTCCCTGTGGAGTCACGCTTCTTAGATTCAAATTTCGATGTTCAAGTCTTTTTTCTTTTACAGAGTTGACATTAGCGGGAAGTGATGTCATTTTAAACAGATCAATGCTCCCTGCTCTTCCCCCCACCAAACCTCTCACATGCTTGGGCAGGAGTAGCAGGAAAGGGAGGGTGTGATGGCAATGACAAAACATTTAGTTTCTTCATTACAGATCAAGAAAATGCCAAATGATCAGATTATGGTGCAGAATTCCACTTTATGTATGGGCTTTTATTTTCAAATGGATATGGTACAGGCTGATGGTTCCTGAGGCGGCAAGAGAAAAATGAGATCTCCAGAATGAGAAAAATTATTTGTTTGGGGAGGGTAGGAAAAACAGGACTTTTTTTTTCCCCCACATCTTGAGACACTGACAAGTCTTCAAAACATTGTTTTATAACCAAGTACAGGAGACATGAAACCTCAAAATACACAAAACACAATGTACAAGAGTGGACAAAGTTCTCAAAACAGACTCAGCAGCAGCTGACTAGCGAACTGCATTCAAAATGCAACTTACAACGGAATCAAGTTATTATTCACGAAGAAAATTCGGCATTAGTCACTGGAACAATCAACACAATATGCAAAAAATGGAAGATGCTGCGAGAACTAATGATATCTTTTGCTAGATGCTGACAGGTTATTGCATTTTTATTGGTTACTCATTAGCTTCCTATGACTGAACTACTCAAAGTTGATCAACTTCAAGTGGGAAAAGAGTTTACATAACTTTTTTTGAGCAGATGAATAGGGAACAAGCTACAGTAACTTGCCCTAGAACAGTAATAAAACTTGTCTAACCATCTAAAAGAAGCATCTGTGAAAAACAAAACTGGAACGAGGCAGATTCCTTTGGGAGACCTCCATCCTTGAGTTCAGTGTCAGTGAAGTAAGACATCCTTGACAGTGAAGATCCTTTGCTTTAAAAGAAGTCAGTCTTCATGAAGATAAGGCTGAACAAATGGTGTAAGCCACTTCTTTTCAGAGATATAGCTGCTCAAAATTATTAGACAAACATCTGGAACATAAAATTGAAGTAGATAAAAGGGGTTTCTAATCCCATATAGACAACTTGCTTGGAGTTGCTTGTCTTTCTTTCTCAGTCTGAACACTGTTACGTGTTTCTCCTAGTCCTTGAGTTCAGAAGGTTTCTTCTCTTCTAAAGCCTAGCTGGAACTGTTGTCCGGCTCTACACAGAACTCATGAAGAGCTGATAATGACAACCATTAGAAATTCCAGAACAGATACATAGCTCCTTTCAGATATGACTTCAACATTTTTTGTTCTGTGGTAGCCATAGTTGCTGAATTGCCTCAAAACGCAAATTACAAAATAAGCCTGTTTTAATTCAGTATTTTCATTCTACAATGCATGCCTAAATTTTAATCTACATTTTCAAAGCAGTTTTCTCTCTTCTATGCAAGGCTGCAGAACTGCAGATATATGCAGGGATCTTTAATCTTCCTCAAAAAAAAAAAAAAAAAAAAAAATTTCTATTTTGTATCACTGCCTCAGCTAATCCAGTTGACCTATCTGCTTCAAGAACATCTGAAAAAGAAAAGAATAAATGTCTATTTCAGAATGTATCACTGCCTCAGCTAATGCTAATGCAATAAATGTCTATTTCAGAATGTATCACTGCCTCAGCTAATCCAGTTGACCTATCTGCTTCAAGAACATCTGAAAAAGAATGAAGAACTTAATGACTAATTTCTGAGGAAACTAGTAGAAAACATTTTTTTGTCATTCTCAATGCCACTTGAAGGCTGTTTCTACTGTGGAACCATACTGATATGTATCAACGTCCAAAAAGAGAGAAGATGAACTATAGTTAAGAATGATGGACAATTCTTATTTAACCACTCGCATTAAAAGTCAGTACAGAGGACACTAAATGACAGAGAAGCAATGTAATCAAGAACATGAGATAGCATTCATTTACGTCAAAAGCACTAACACTCAGCAGGCTTTTAGAAGGCTAGATTAGGAATGAAATACTTGTTTTTCTACTATACTGAAAATGAACTTCATGTCCTATCCTTCCTCTGAATAATAAACCCCAGAAGTATCAAGAGCCAATGTGACTGAAAACACTGCCAGCCATCATCAGGCAATATATTAAAAATCAATGGAGTTTGTTTGTGTAGCAAAAAGGAAACACCACCACAAAAATTAACACCAGCTTATTATTTCTGGAATCTTAATTAGTTCAGATAAGAACACTCAAAAGGAAGTTTAAAGTATGTTGACTAGAGGTCTCAAAACAGAAGAGGAACAAAAACTTTATCAGACAAACATGCATCACCATACACATTACAGCTGACATGCAATCTACTGCTCTAAGACAACTTGTACTTCATGAAGACGACAGAGATTTAATTTTTATTATTAGAATGTTATTTATTTTAAACAAAAATACATAACAATTTTCACTTAATAAGGAAATATCCATAAAGTACCCAAAGGTAAGAGTTGCAATTCTTCAGAAAAATTTAGCATGTTTTCTGTTTTGATATTTATTTTAAACAAAAATACATAACAATTTTCACTTAATAAGGAAATATCCATAAAGTACCCAAAGGTAAGAGTTGCAATTCTTCAGAAAAATTTAGCATGTTTTCCCTTTTGAATTTCAAAAGTAGAAATATTTGGACTAAAGTAGATGTATTTTCGTGGTTCTCCCATTAGTTTTACACAATTTAACACCTGCCTAACTGTTCATTGATACCCTTTTTTTAAACAATAAAACTGTAGCAACGACAACATTAATTGTATCAGTTCCCTTTTCTGGACCTCAACAGTGAAAACAATGATTTGAAACACAGTAAATTTACAATTCTACCTAGTTTAAATACACTAATTAACACAGTTAAAAGCAACAATTTATATCAGAGAGATGAAAAACTCTACAGGATACCTATTTCACCTAGACAGCCTGGTACAGGTTATATAATATTACCAGGATAAATCATGTGGCTAAAAACCCCAGCCTTGAATTTGCTGACATATTTTTAACTTTCAACCTTCAAAATTGTATACATGTAGGGAGGTCAGCCTCCTCTGAGTTTTTGTGTCTGGATTGCAACATAACAGGTGTCACAGAATCTTAATTCTGGCTTTTGCTCAAGACAACTTGGACAACTGTTTTTAGTAATGAACAATAAACCTACCTTATGCATCCATATTCTTCCTTTCCTTATAATATGTGTTAACCTATCCACGCACACTCTGTGAAGCGGCAGGTAGAAGCCAAGTTCACTTTGTGGAAGTATAATTGATAGTCCATATGTGCTTCTGTCTCCATTCCAGTTTCCATCAAAGATTAATGACACAATGATTACCCTTTTTTCTGCCAAGACAAAGAACTTCACATCTATTGCACCGCTTTCTGCATTCCGAAGTATTTCTCCATTCAGGGTGTGGTTAGCAAGGAAAGTTATTTCACCATCACTGAGAAGTACCTGTTCTGTCTTTGGGGCCCAGATATGCCGCACTCGGGGGCCAAGAATATTGTCCCAGTAAGCAAAAGTGGCAGCTAATAAAGGTGACTCGCCATTCAAAGAGATCTCTGTTTTAGCAACTGCAGGAGACGGTGGTGGACAAAGAGCTGACATGCCTGCTTCCTCTCTCACGTATAACTGAAATGTTTACATTACCTTAAAAAAAGTTTTCACAGAAAAAAAACAAAATTAGAGCAGCACTTATTATTATCTCATCTTCTTTTGTTTCCAAATAAGACTTCAAGAGACAACCTGACTTCTACCTCTGAGATTTCATTGTAGACTTCAATCAAGAAGGAAGTGTATATACATACCTTCCGCATAACGAAGTGGTACGCTTTACAAATGTGAGTCAGACCTCAAATACCCTTTACTCACCATACAAGTATGATGAGCCTGCACAACATTCAACTTGTGTAAGAAAACTGACATAAGATAAATATATCCTTTACATCATTGGTGACATGCAGGGTGTTGCAATACAAGACAAATGCTCAGCATTTTATAGAATGTATTGATGGAAAATTCTTCATATTGTGTAGACACAAATCCTTAAACATTTTCCCTAGGCGTTTCCAAAAACTCTACAGCTTCCCCATTTTGATGGGGCTGCAGAACATAACAGGAAGTTTCACCTTCCCTAAAAGTTATGCCAGAGTCACAGGAAGACATTAAATAAAAAAGTTTTAGAAACAAATTCAACCCAAGATGGAAAACTGTAAAAGCTAAAATGCATTTATCTTGACGAAACTTCACATGGCCAGAACTCAGCTTTCCTCTCCTCTCTGCCTGCAGCACTCCACATGATAACAGAGGGGAACCACCCCCCAGTATCAAAGGAGCAGTGACACCCAACTCACTGACACAGCTGTAACTCGCCAGACCGCTGGCACCATTTCGTTTCAGGTATGTGAACATTTTTTTCCTTGTGAGTGTCCCTAATAAGATCGTCCAGGTGCATTTCCTCACAGCAGGAAGGTAAAGCACCTTTCTCTCCGGCTACTTCTCAGGCTGACTGACCAACACTAGGCCGTCCCCTGCCAGCCGGTGACCAGCCTGGATGGCAGCAGGGAAGCCGAAGCCATCTGAGGCTCTAAATGTGCCTTCACGGTTTTCAGGGAAGACGAAAGCGTCAGTCACCCCTGCCTCCTTACGCTCATGGGCTGACCAGACACTTCCTCTCACCACAGCCTTTCCAGAAAATCCCGCCACCGCCGGCCAAGGCAGCTGCGGCACACGACGACCGACCGGAGGCTGATCCACCGCGCTCCCAGCCGGGATCAGGCCCGTTTCGCACCCTCCAGGTCTGGTCTGAACTTCGGAAAGGACCCACCTCTCGGGGAGGCGGTTGGGAGGCGAGCTACGAGGCCCAGCTCCTTGCCTCCGCCAACCGGAGGGGACG